AAAATACTCTCTTTTCCTATTATCTCACGTAATTTTTTTCCATTGGGTACATGTTGTAATCTTCTGTGAATATTCTCTTTTAAATCACAAATAATTTCATATATATTTATATATCAAGATCAGGCCAAAATTAAATAAATTACAAACCGTGCCTGCAGAGAAAAGGAGAATAAATTTCTGTAATAATTAATAACAATGTGCGCATTCATCAACAAATTAAAAACAAGGAATAAACGAGAAGGCGAGATGCCTTGCCAACACGTTTAATATTAATTGTAAACAATATATATATATATATAATTAAGCGGCAACTTAATTATTTATACAAATATAATTTCAATTCGGGAAAAAATATGTTTGTAAAGCAACTTGCAGCCAACTAGATCCCGGACGACAACAAGGAATCTTGGATGTCTTTAGACAAATAAAAATGGAATTTAATCATATAAGATTCTAAAAAGACCCCAAAAATCGATGGCAGTTGAACCTGCAGATTCTAGTGCCCTCCAACCACTATCAAGAGGACAAAATGCAACTTCTCCCAATTAAACACTTCATTATTGAGGAAAGTAAAGTATTGGATCATTTACCATATATGAATTGGTGAGTCCATACGAATAACTAAATAAAATCATGTAATAAGCGTTATTCCAATCGTTATATCGTGGACTCTTATTCAATACACAGAATTCATGTTTATTATATTATGTTTATGTGTATGTGTATTATGAACATAAATTTTGTATATTATGAAGTCAAATTCTGTGTATTGGACTAGGCCACTAGAGTCCATGATATAATTTGCCGTGTTATTCATTATATGTTATGCAAAAACTTGTGTGAGACAGGTCGGATCAAGATGAAATGTAATATTTATATTGACAAATTTAATACTAAATTAGGAATAAAATGTTTATTACTTATATAGAAAATGTAAGACTTTTACATTTTGATGTAAAAAATATTACATTTTTCTTTATAAATAACAAACACTTGTCAACATTATATAATACTTTTGATAAAATAAAAAAAAAAAGTATAACTTTTACATCAAAATATAAAAGTATTCTAGTTATCCTCAAAAGTATTATGTTTTTTTTTTTTCCTTTATAAGTAACAAACACTTATTTATAATTAGTATTACATTTTGTTATTGACTCAGACATGTCTCACGAATAAGAATCCGTGAGAAAGTCTCGGGATACATTGTTTAACATCAGAGTGTAATGAATTAACCGTGATACATTGTTTAAATTTGCCGTCACAATGTAGTGAAAATACTTTGATAACTTGCATAAAGTTTGGCATTAAGGATTTAAGGGTACCCCCAAAAAAAAAAAATTTGACATTAAGGTATTGTAAAATGTTTGGCGGATGCTAGTGAAGGGTCAAGTCCAATACCAAGTGACTTAGAGATTGTTGGGCGGAGGTTTGAAGGGTCAAGTCTAGTACCTTACCTCTTGAAATTGTGGCGGTATATAAAAAAATAAAATTGTGCTTTTGCTACAACCTATAGCTTTTGGTGTACTAAGCCGTTATCGTTGGGTATAGTAGAGGTATAAAAGGCCAACTCCAGCACCCTGCTCCTCGAAAATATGACGAGTTATAAATTTTTTTGACAGTGATAAGTGTTTAATCCTAACAAGGATATCAAACTGTGCAGTTAAGACTGACAGGCCGGTTCAACGCTTAATCTTAACATTAAATAATCATGAAATATGATCTACTATAAGTTTGACTTGGTTTAATTTTGGCTAAAGGTGTCGCTTTAAGGATTCCTTGCACTCATCTATCTATCCATCTTTTTTTTTTTTTTTTTTTTTTTTTTTTTTTTTTTGGCTTATCTATCTATCCATCTATTTCAAAACACAAATATAATTAAATTAATTGACAATTAATAACAATAAGTTTTAAAAAATAGGAAGATTTTTCTTTCAAAAAAAAAGGGAAGATTTCGTTGGTATATATATATATATATATATATATATATATATATATATATATATATATATATTGGTGTAGAGCAAAAAAATTGATGTCGGGGAATTTTATAAGGGGATGATTATGTATGATGGTACGTCACTTTTCATAGTTCATAAAATTATAAGTTCACATTTGATTTTGTCTAATAAGTTCATTGTTTCTTAGGTTGTTAAGATACATTGATAATGCAATTCTAACTAATCCTTATCTACATAATTCATAGTGTGTATATTACTAAACGTAAAAATATCATAATTGGAGCGGAGCATCTCAACTAAAAGTCTAAGTTAATAGTTAGAATACGTGGACTACAATTTCTTCTTCTTTTTTTTTTTTTTTTTAATTATTGGAGGACGAATAGATTTGAACACATGACATTTAGTATGGAGTTGACTCTGCAACCAAATTGGAGCATGTGTTTCATCTGAACTAAAAATATAAATTGATAATTGGATTGCGCATTTATGTTTATATCTTATATACGAAGAATCAGTTACTCAAAACATTTTTTAAAAATAATTACTCTGGACATTTTACTTGGTTTTTAAATTTGGCAAAATTTAGTCTTCTAATTAATGTGCTGACGTGATTAGGTTGTCAAATAATTAACCAATGGAAAATATATATTAAAGAATGATAAACGAGCGGCACACGAATTCGTAGCAGCAAATAAGGTTCAAAAATTAAAGTCAGACCAGTTTAATAAACAATAAAGAATGATGGACGATGAGCAATTGCCATGTTGGTCGGATAGTTAATTAAATAATCATAAAATTTAAAATTTGATTTTTCAAAAGAACATCTTATTGATCGACTTTCTTGATTTGAGCCGATTAATTATAAACAAATAAGATTGAGTCGAGTAAAATCTTGGATCAAGATAATTTACCAAGCCTACAACCTAAACTTTATAGTTATAATAAATGTGTCATAAAAAAATGTACTTCGTAAGAATTATTAATGTATATATTTTGATTCAACTAAAAGTTAAGTGATTGGTAAAGATACACATTATGTATATTGTTGATATGTTTTAATATTTATTTTATATTATTTCCAATCAAAATAAACACTATACTATTGCTAAGTCTCTGGGAGAAACCCTTACCCCTTTAAAGATCAAAGTATGTGGTCATAAATGGACAAATTATGTACAAAAACCAACAAAAAAAAATTCTTTATTATCATATATTGAGAAACATAATTGATTAAAAGAAAAAACAGAATAAGATTTTATTTAAATTTTTTTAAAAAAGCATACTAGTTTAGTCAATGGATTTGAGTCTAATTTAACATTGTTAATTAAGGGCATTGTCAATTATTAGGTTACATCAGGTATGAGCTACTCTTATGATGATGTTAATGTGTTATCCTAATTAATTGTCAATTCTCCAATTCTTTAGGGTAAATGACCAATATTATTGCATATAGGTCATTGACTCCATTAATCCAATCACTCTTAACATTAATAATTTAATTGCCAGCACCTTAATAGACTACTCAATTATAAAATTCCACCTACCATACATTAAGTAAAAGAATTAATTTGAATATATATATAATATATATATATATATATATATATATATATATATATGTATATATATATAGTCTAGTTTTTGTGTAGACAGGCCTTCGCGTGAGGACGTGAAGTCATGCACCACCAGCACCACCAGTATGCAAGAATGCACCACTAAGTGTTTAGAAATGCACCAGGGTGTGGGCAAGGGGAGGCAGCCATGGTTGATCCATCCTTCATTCAAATCGGACGAAGGAGGAGGCAATCATGGCTGCCTCCACCATCTTCTGAAATTTAAAAAAAAAATATTTTTTTTCTTTTAATTTTTAAAATAATTGTTAAAATAATTTTTTTTATATAATTTGACATTATGACATCATATTTAATGAAAACTTGTAAGTAACATGTAAAAAATGTTATTTGCACAATTTTTAAATTTTTAATGATCTAATTACAAACTTTTTTGTTCGATGATTCAATTGCACAATGTGTAAAAATTCAATAGTCTATTTGACACTTGTTCTAAAAGAAAACTAAAATACCACGTTTATAGTTTGTTATGAAGTGAGAATCTATCAAAATTTTGGCAATGTACCTCGAGCCTTTAAGATGCTCTCAAGGGTGTACAACACATAATGAATTTAAAATATTTACATCTTTATCAGTTAGGTAGGGGATTTTAAATATACTCAACTTGTCTTCACGCAAGTTATTTACTAGTGAGCAATGGCAAGTGACCCATACAAAACAACAAAAAGATATGAGATTTCTTAGGTCATGACTTTATTTTGAACATATATATCATAAAAAGATCAATGTGATAAAACGAAAAAGTCTGCACATTTTATTTGAATATGCGTCATGGGTAAGATCTGCCTTGTGACTCTAGTCAGTAAAGGACCATAAGAAGGTAAATAGCTTATATTGTCCATAGCTGATTTGCTCAAACCAACGAGATCAATAAGCAACTCCTACTTGTATTCAAACTTGTATACTACCAGTTTTATACAATACAGTATTTTGTTTTTTGTCTTTGTATAATGATTATTATTTATATATACTTAAGCATCTTTGCTTCTCAATAATAATTGATGCTAAATGAAGGTATTGTGACCTGACATTTCTGTAGTCATAAACAATATTATAATATACTATATCCCATTATCAAGCTGAAAATGACTTCCTGATTCCCTTACAACAAACTTCTTTGTTGGCGTACATATATACAATCACACACATAATATAATATAAGAGAATTTTTACTCTATAAAATTCTTGACCAAAAAAACATATATATTGGATTGTTTATTGTTCTAAAACTTTATCACTGTGACCAATTGAGTTGTTCAAGCGGCAAAAAAAAAAAAAAAAAATTATATTGTAACCAAGAAGTTTGACTGAGTTTGTAATGATAGAATATGAAATAATGACTTTCATTGATTTCTGAAAATTATACAAAAAATAAATAAAAAAAGAAAAAGGTAAAAGAACATTTGAGTTTCATGGGAAATGTCCCGGGCAATTATTGTGATTCATTGGAGGTGTAATAGTTTTAGTGGCTAGAGAAGTAGTATTAACAAAACAGAAGAAAATTCTATTCTAAACTGGAAAATTAAAAAAAAGTGAAGAGCCAAACAAGAACATAGCTTAATTTTCTTCAAACTTCATTGCCAAATCACAAGAGTTGATCCAGCTTCCAAGATTCTTCATCTGATACCATTAAGGGCACCTGATTGAGATTGTTGTTGTTATTGATAATAATATTATTATTACTGTCACTGTTAAAAAGCGAGTCCAAAGTAGTGGTGATGAAGTCATCTCCCCAGAACCCCATGTCACCGATGCTGTCACATTGCCAGTCAAGGCTGGGCAGGAACATCTCCATGTCTTCAAGAACCCCATTAACGTTGTTGTTAACGTTGTTTGATGAGACAAAATCGCCGCCGCCGCCGGCCGTGTAATTGTCGGAGTCGGAGGAGGAGCAAGTGGGGGTGGACGAGACAGGGACGAGGATTTCGTGGGGCTCAATCAGGGGGACTTCGTCTGTGCAGAACCCATTACTGACCTCCATTATTGAGGACTCAAAAACTGGGCTTTGGGTGCTGGTTTCCATACTCTTGTTGTCTTCTTCCATTGACTGATCATTTGAAGTACCTGGTACTGGAGATTCTTGATCTGCCGAGGTTCCATTCTCTGTCTGGGATTTTGTTTTATTTGTTTTCTGATCATCATCATCATCAGTAGCAGAGAGCGGCTTGTGGGTCACTGGATCAAACCCCATTTTCCTCAGCTTCTTCTTGATATGTGTATTCCAATGATTCTTGATTTCATTATCAGTTCTCCCAGGCAAATGAGAGGCAATCTTTGACCACCTGCAGATCAAAATTATTATTATTCACCAAATTATGGCACTTGAGCAAGAAAACAGAAAAGAATTGAAGAAAGACCTGTTGCCAAGCTGGGCATGAAGATCAATAACCATCTTCTCTTCAAAATCCGACAAAAGTCCCCTCTTCAAATCTGGTCGGAGGTAATTTATCCATCTCAATCTGCAGCTCTTCCCACACCTCAACAGCCCTGAAATTCAGATTCACAACAACGTAACTCATCTAATTAACAAATGCTGTATGTCTGGTCTTTTTTTTTTTTTTTGTAGTTTTCAAGATTGATGAGGAAATGGAAACCTGCGAGTTTGGGGACAGCTCTCCAGCAACATTGACCATTGTTGAGGATGAAGGTTATGAGCTTCTTGTCCTCCTCGGCAGTCCAAGGTCCTTTCTTTAACCCAACCTTGTCGCAGCATGGTTGTCTCCCCATTTCACCTCTGATCTCTTTCTATACTATGAATTCCCAAAATCTATATCTTCTCTATTATATATAGAGAGAGAGAGAGAGAAAGAGAGAGGATGGATGGTGGATATATAACTGGATATGATATTAGGCAATAAGGTATTTAGGCATATAGCAGAGGCTTTAGATTGTAAGGCCTTGGACTCCAGGCTCACCTGCATATATATATAAATTACAAATCAACCGTGCACCCCTCTCCCGGTCCCACCGCTACCATGCCTACACCAAAACACGGCATTACTACTTTTACATTATTTTTTATTATTATTAAAATTTTGAGTTTTTCCCTTATACTTTTCATGGAAATCAATAATGTAACGTTTGGTACGTGAAAACAGCACAGGACTAGCCCGTTCGAAATTGCTATCACTACCCGGCTACTCGCCGCTAGAGTGCGCACAAAGGTTCAAACTCTAGCTGCAGAAACCCCCCACCTTGCTATTAAAATGCTAACAAGGTGATGTTGAGAAGATATCTCAACTGAAGCATGTGCTCCATCTCAACTAAAAATTGATTTGAACTCATAACTTTTGACATGACTCTGATATCGAATTGAAACATGTGCTCGATCTCAGCTGATAGTTAGATTGCACATTTATGTTTATATATATTATATGCTCGACAAATCAACCACTTAAGCTAAAACTTTTACCAAAATAAGTTATCAAATGTTTGTAATTGCAAAAAAAATGACCCTAAAATGTTCTTAGGACCTTTTAAGAAGTATAAAAAATGTGTTTTAAAGGGACGATTGCATCTGGATTTGTTAAACAGTTGACTTAGTAATTAAATGATTTTAAATTCGATTACCAGCCTTTTTAATTTAAGTCAATCAACTATAAATAATTTGAATTAATTTACACCATTGTAATATTTTACTAACTAATATCACATAGTAAACTTCACTCTTTTGTGCATCATCATTTTTATGTGCGGGTATAAAAAGATTTGAAAAGGAAAAAAATAGTGCAGCGCGTCCATGCACGTGCTATTGTCACAGTCTGACAGCGCCACATCACCACTCTTGCTTGAGTTGGAAGCATAAAATAATGGGAAAAATATAAATTCCAAAAAAAAAAAAAAAAAAAAAAACACAGTAGAATCAATGTCATTATACACGAGTATATAGCGTACATAATATTGTTGGTATACGATTATAGTACAAAGGGACAGGTGGTCCCTACAATCGTATGTGCAAAGCAAAAACTTTTGTCGCGGCAGGCCACACTTTTATCCAAAAGGAAGACGAGCTTGAAGACGAGAAAATTTCAGCTGCCAGCTGGCGCCCAAGATTTTATAATTCCCATTTTCTCTTTGACAAAATTTTGATTGGCCTGGGTCTCCACTATATATAATTATATTTATTATGTAAGTAAATTCAATTTGTTCCTCAACTTGATGCATTAATCTTGATTATCATTGTAGCTCAATTGTTATTTAAAATTTATAAGAAACTAAGGTGGTGTTTAGTTCACGGAATATTTTGAGATAGATAATGGTCCTGTTTGGTAACATAGTTAACTTATCAGTTAATTTTGACATATAAAACTACTATATTTTAGCTATTTGACTTACTAAACAATCAATATGAGTGTTTAATTTGATTAATTATTATTTGTTGTATCAACTTATTGTTCTAAAATATTAAAATTCAAAAAGCTGCTCAAAGCAGTTTTTTCTATCAGTTTTTTGAGAAAAATCATTTTGCATGTAATCAACTATTAGCTAACAACTAATTTATCAAACATTTTTCTACAATTAGCTAATGTTATCAACTAGTCAAACCTATTAACCCAATCAGCTAACACTTATTTACCAAACACCCAAAATATAACATTCTCGAAAATCTTACATAACCTAAGAATGGGGAGGGGATGAGATTCCATGAAAACTACAAAAAATTAATTAAAAACAAAATTTGTGAACCTCACATTTCTTGGACTCAAATAGTGAAATATGATAGTATTACATTTACATTCCTAAGGTTATGTATGGTAACTTGAATCAAACATCCTCTAAATAAAATAAGTGAAGTAAAAATTTTGTTTCACTAGTGAGTAATAAACAAGACATGTAAAATATAATGGATGAAATATCATATACTATTCACATCAATAACAATAATTAATAACAATAATATGCAATATAACAAAAAAAACAATATATATAATTGTACTTGTTGTTCAAGGCCGGATTTTAGGTTTTTGTGACCCTGTTATGGTAAATAACTGAGACCCTCCAAAATCATAATTTTTAAAACTAACATATGCGAGTTTCGAACCTTTGACCTCCAAGTAAAAATACAATAAATACATATTACTACCAACTCTTCATAGAATCATTTTAATTTAATTGAAAACTTTTAATTTTTATTTCTAAACTAGTTAGGTAAATATTAAATATTTGGCCTCTAAAATTGGGGACCTTGTGCGGTAGCCCAACTTGTACAGCCTAAAATCCGGCCCTATTGTTGTTATTAGCATCATAAAAAAGTCTTGTATTTATAATATATTATTTAATCCGAATAATAATTGAACTTAATTATGGCACTCCTATGTCCATAACTGATTAAACGCTATCAATTTGGATATATATATATATATATATATATATATATATATATATATATATATGCAAAAACATATATATATATATATATATATATATATATATATATATGCAAAAACAAATGGTTCATGGTTGGGCCTTTGGGGTGCGGGGGGGGGGGGGGAGGTGGTTAGGGGGGCTTAAAAATGGTTTTAAAAAAAATTGTTCATGTCCTTTTTTTACTTTTAGTTTTTTTTAATCATCAATTTTAGTAAAATGTACGTTTTAGTATAAGTCGATTTATTATGTCTATGACAAAATTTTCTCTATTTAAGAATTTAAATGCAAAATTTTTATTATCTAATAAATCTTATAGAAAAAAATTAGTATCTGAAAATATTAATAAGAGTTTGTAAGATGAATAGTTCACATTTAAAGGCCCTGTTTGGTAAATGGCGGTTAGCTGTTAGTTGTTAGCTGATTAGATTATGGCCCTATTTGATAAATAGTTGTTAGCTGATAGCTGATAGTTGTTAGTTGTTAGCTAATTGGAAGAATTAGAGGGTATAACTAGTTGATAACATTAGCTGATTGTAGAAAGGTGTTTAGTAAATTAACTGTTAGCTGATAGCTGTTTAGTATAATTTCTTTTCTCAAAAAGCTAATTGAAAAAGTTGCTTACCAAACACTTATATTGATTTTTAAACTAAGTCAAACAACTAATAGTGGTCAAATAAACCAAAATTGGCCTATAGGCTAACTATTTACCAAACAGGGCCATAACTAGGAAATGTGTTTGGTAAATTAGTTGTTAGCTAATAGCTATTTGATATAATTTCTTTTCTAAAAAAGCTATTTGAAAAAGTTATTTTGAGTAGATTTTTGAATTTTAGATTTTAGACTTACAAAAAAACTAATTAACCAAACACTTATATTGATTTGTTAACCTAGTCAAACAGTTAATAGTAGTCAAATAAGCCAAAATTGATTGATAAGCTAACTATTTTGCCAAATAGGGCCAAAGACAATTTAAGTCTCAATCATATACACAAGAAAATGTACTCAAATACATACACAAATGGAAGGAAATAAAACCTATGAATTTGTATGTTATAACTTCATTGCATGCATAACACTTCAATTATTTTACAACATCATCAATAAGTCAATAAGTCAATTATAATCATGTCACTTTTAACCAAAAAAAATAAATAAAAAATAAAAACAACTTAAAATTTACTGACTTATCATTATAATTAATTTATTTTAATATAAAAATTGTTAGAACATAATTTTTATTTTCAATCATAACTATCTTAAACAATATTTATCTTTGCTACTACTTTTATCATAAGTTAAAAACTACCCATTTTTATTATATTGCAAATAATCAATTTTATTTTATATTAATTAACTTTCATATTTAAATGTTAAAAATTAATTAATTATTTATTTTAATTTCATATTTGATATTAGCTTAGTCACGCAATGCGCGAATTCTAACTAATTATGAATATTTGTGTGAGAATGTTAAACTAGGAATTAGTCACTATCTACCTTTCGTATTAGTCTAATTTTAATACCAAATTGAATGTTATCTTTCATGTCAACTAAATAAATAGTTGAACTACATTATATATATATATATATATATATATATATATATATATATATATATATATAATTGTTCTATACATTTATCCATTTTATGTATTACATGTTTAACGTTTCCATGGCGAGAATAGAATATTGTCAATAATACTAGGAATGTTATTTGTCTAAATGTGACACCCTTTTAAATTTTATTTCTCCTTTTATTTCAATTATGTTTTATCAAAGTTGTGGCTGCCATGCATATTTAATTCAAATTTTTATGTAACCAACAAATTTGGTTCATAAAGCTTTTAACATCATAACTTGAAGCAGCTAATTTGCAACTTTACTAAAAACTTATGAATAAATATAAACTATGAAAAAATATAAACTATAAATAACCAATTGACTAAATCTTCATTAAATTCACAATTAAGATACTAAATCACTACCACAAGTCACAAGCCATAGAACGTGATGTTGTCTGCAACAGTGTTCTTCGCAGCCTATCCATGTGGCTCAACAAATTGTCTAAAATACCGTCGCAAAATTATTATTCTATTACAGGATTCATTCATGGATGTGCAATATTTATACACATATTGATTGACTAGTATTTTGTATGCGCGATGCGCAAAAAATAGGTGCCCAATATTAATACATTATATTAAAATTTTAAATTTATTTAGATTTTAGATATTTAAATTATTCTAAATAATAATAATAATAATAATAATAATGTAAATAATTTTTATAAATTTGATATTTATATTTTATGTAATAATTAACATATAACTCAAATATATAATCAGTGTATATATTATTGTTAATGAAGAAGATAAGAAAATATATGGTGGATACATGTGCATGGTAACACTAGTGGAAAAGATAATGAAAGTTATAATAGTAGGGGTATGTTTGTCCAAAATATTTTAATGTACAACCTTTATAGCATAATGTACAAAAAAAAAAACTTAACGGA